TTTAAAATTTTTGTTTGCTCAATATTGAAAGTGTTGAACTTTTGGTTTTTCATATTTGGTAAGGGCTGTCGTGTTTTTTATCATATTTATGTAAATTTAATCTAGATTATAGGTTCTGACTTGTTTGACCAATATAAACTCCTTGACATACTGTGTGTCAGCCAAATGGAATAAATTAGCTAATAAATAAATGAGAAAGTATTCGAAAAAGCGATTGAACACGTCGATTAGTATTTTTAGTTGCGCATTTGTTTCCATAAAAACTTTTTATACGGGGTGTATCAGATAACGGTGGCCAATACCAACTTGCTTATTTTAAATAGAACACCCTGTATATTAATTAATTATTAGATTCTCAACTCATTTTAGACGTTTTTGAATACAATATCCTCTATACCTATTTTTGACTGTTTCGGAAATATTAGTTAAAATGCAAAAATTCACATTTAGAAAAGAAAATTATTTATTTGTCAAAAGTCGCTACTACTGTCTTAATACTTCTTGCCCATTTGGGTCTTGCTAATGATAAAGTAAGCAAAAACTATTTAAGCATTCCTTTTTATTAAAAAGTTAAAAAAAAAACAAAAAATTGTTTACTTTGGTTTAAAACGCCAATGTTTTATTGTTCCATAACAGTAGTTGGCAGTGCTATAGTCGTTTGAATTTCATTAACCGCAAGCCAGAAAAATGGTTAATTTAAGAAAAATGCACAAAATTACTCGTTTATTTCACGAAGCATTTCCTGATTTGCCGCACATATCTCAAGGGACAATTAGTAAAATAAAGAAGCAATTCCACGACCTGGGCCATGTTAGGAAGGTAAAAAAAGAAGCTGCCAATGCAATAAGTGAGAATACTAAATTGTCTGTTATGTTTGAGTTTGAGGAACACCCACATACATCTGTTCTAAAAGCAGTCCCAGTACTCGGTATTACTTAGCTATTCATCGGTTATTCGAATATTACAAGTAAACAAAATGCATTCCCATAAAATTATACATACTTAGAAGCTTATGGAAGATGATTTTGACAGGAGAACGTATTTTTGTCAACAAATAATGGCAATGTTAGACAGCAATATGATCCAATTAAAACATGTTTTGTTTTCTGACGAGTCTTTACTCTTCACAAAATTGCCGCTATTGGTCCAGGGAAAATCCTCACTGGATGAGAGACTCAATACCCTGAAAAGGATAACGTGTGGGCAGGAATTATTGAAGTTCAGATCTTAGGTCTCTTTCTCATAGATGGTAATTTGAATGGCGACAACTTTTTAGCATTGCTCCAAAATGATGTAGTGCCAACGTTGACCAACTTGATCCAGGAAACCTACAAGTTTCAGCGAATATGATATGGTTTCAACAAAATGGAGTACCACCCTACTACCAAATCCATATCCGGCAGTACCTCAACCAAATATTTCCAAATCGGTGGATAGGGAATCGAGGATCGATGGAATGGCCACTACGATCCCCCGATTTGACGCCATTAGACTTTCTCTTATGAGGATGTGAAAAGTATTGTATATAAAACTAAACTCACTGACTTAAGAAGGCGAATAACGCCTGCAATTAAATCGATCACATCTGAGATGGTGAGTAACGTTAGAAGAAATTTCTATTCACGGTTAAGGTGTTACCAAAACATTCGTGGGGAGCATTTTGAACATCTCCTACATTGGCATTATTGTTTAGATTTGTATTATTTAGAAGTTTTTAAATATGTTGTAGCGACATATATAATTAATAGCGAATAGATAATTTTCTTTTTTAAATGTGAATTTTTGCATTTTACTTAATATTTCCGGAACAGTCAAAGATAGTTATAGAACATTGTATTAAAAAAATGTAAAAGTCGAAAATATGACATATATGATCCTCCAACAATTAAAATATCTATTTTGGACACGTTATGTGAGCAAACACAGAAAAAATGGAAAGGCTTACTTTCCAAGGAAACTTAGAAGGCCGAAGATCACGAGGAATATCCACAACAAGATCGATCAAATGACAGGAATATGCAGAAGTCCTATGCATGAGTTAAAAGAAATGATCAAAGACAGAAATCTTTGGAGACATACAATACACGACATGATCACTACACTCCCTCCAGGGATTCAGAATTGAAGAGAGATATTAAAAGTAGTCTGTTGGTCTGCTGGTCTGTTATAAACGGAGCAGAAACTTGGAAAATAAAAGAATATCAAAAGAAAGCTGTGGGCACTAGAAATTGATGTATTTAGGACAGTTGGAGTATTCCGCAGACAGAAACTTCGCAACAATGAGATAAGACGGCGAATGGTAGTTGAAGCCTTAATAACGACCGATGTGGAGAAAAAGCTACTGATTTGGTACAGACATGCCCAGAGGATGGAAAATATACATATACAAGTTTACAGAGTAGGTTCGGTATAAAACGGTCGCAGAAGACAAGAAAGCAAAAGTTCTGGAGAAAAGGAATGAATAAGGCCATAAAGTGGGCAGTTGAATGATCAAATGGCACAGAAATTAGGCATCGGACTACATTGCAAGACGTTTTAAAACATAGTATATATGCAGACCGGTCTAAAGGTGGTCAAAATTTCTTTTCTATTCCACTAGGAGAATAAACGTCTATATCCAGGCAAAACTTTAGATATGCAATCTTCCATTGTAAAAGAGAAGACTTTTGGACATAAGGAATATAGGCACAGATAGTCAAACGCCTACGGATCTCTCAGAGGTCGTAAAGTAGTCTCTAAGCTCGTGGTAATACCGACAAGAACTCGATAGGCTGGTCGAGCATGATAGTACCACACTGGTATGGGTGTTTGGTCAATGGAAAATATACAGCAACTAAAGAGCTTATGTACTTGTCAAAACAGGATCAGGTAGCAACTACTTCGGTTCAGAGCCAGACATGAGAACCAGAAAGCCTTGCCTACTACCAGAAAGAGCCTGGATTCGAATACAACTACACTCCCACTACAAATATGCCTCTGGTGTATGATAAAGTGTATATTGGACGGACATGTGCTAATAGGGCTGGCGCACTGAGGAAAACAAGCTGAAATCAGCTTAGGATCATAACAAGCTTCTTAAACCTCCGGCAGTAAGGGGATGCCTGCTTTAAATGGGGTTATTTCATGGAAAGTTAAACTGCAGACTATAGCAAAAACTGAAACAAACGTTCAAGACTGGTTTTTAATCATATTTTGCAAGACTACAACGCACTAGATCAAAGAATACTTTTTCAAGAGTACAAAATTACTCCAAAAACATATGGTCCTCATCCACTAGACTTGTACAAGCTGTTACAAGGTTCCAGAATTTACTTTATGTACCTATATTAAAATTTTAACACAAAATATAATCTATGAGTAAGTAATATGAATCAAAAATTTGGCTTAAAACGTACAAGCAGATATTGAGAATTATATTATTAGAATTGCCCAGAAAATATATAAATATTTTTCTAAAAACCACAACTTTATGTATTGTATCAAAGTACAATACATATTTTGAGACAACCTGTATATGGCTAAAATAATTTTACAACGTTCTTTTAATAGACGGGCTAATAAATGAGAAATATGAGAAAGAAGACAGAAAATTATGTAAAAATTATCGAGGAATAACCGTAATATCATCAATTGGGAGACTACATGGAAAGATACTGAAAGTAAAAATAGAACAAGAATCAAAGCGAAAATCAGTGAAGGCAAGCTATAAGACATATAGTAGATCAGGCTGAGACCACACTTACACACTGGAACAACTCACAGAATGAAAGAAAAATAAATAACAATGCTATAGCTAAGATATTTGTGGACACGACTTACTCTGACATTACAACTCTGTAAAACAATGCATACATTGCGATATGGAATATAGAAATAATTTATAAATATCATCAAAAATATGTACAAAAAAACGAAATGTTTATTAAAACGGAATCAAGAACCATAGGAAACTTCGATACCTACAAAAAATGTCTTTGGTATAACAGTGAATAGACATCTAAAAATGAAAACGAAAGCACAGATTTCAAACATTAGTGTTTAGTTTGATGACATAGAGTTTTGAAAAATTGGATAAATAAAAGAAATAGCAGAGATGGAATACCGTCGAGTAACAAAAATAGAGAGAAAGAAATGAGGTAGGTACTAAGTCAGAGCACATACCTAGAAAAATGAATATTAACCTATAAAAAAGAGAAAATATTAAAGAAAACAATATTATAGAGAAATAAATATCTAAAAAATAAAAATAAGTTAGGTAAATAAGTTTGTTACTGACAGTAACTGATGAAATAGTGAAAATGGCAACAGGTGTTTAAAAAAATAGTTAGAATAAATTGAAATAAAATTTCCAATTTAAATTTCCACCATAAAATTATTTTCAATAACAAAAAAGCGACATACTATTTTTTGCACACACTGTATATCCTATGTAGTATATTATATAAAAGCCCTTACCAAATATTTACAGAACAATCCATGCATAAATGGAATAAAGGGTAACACATCCAAACAACGAATTTGTCACGCATAACAAAAATCCTGAAACAGTAACACCTATGTATAGGCAGATATATATCCAAATAGTTCCTGTGATAGTGGTAAATGAACATGATGTTCCTTAATTTAGCTATTCCTTGACTCAAGCGCCAGCCACATACAGAATCTCTGATTGCACCAGCCGTTGACTTCCCCTCCAGGCACGCTCCGCCACGCCTCTTGGCCTATCGTGACCCTCGCTTTAACTAAGACCCTCCCCGAACCGCCCAGGCCACGTCAGTGTCGGGCCAAAGACTGAAAGGTCACTAGTAGAGGCTAGAGTATTTCGTGGGTTTGACCTATCACCTCCAATGCGAAAATACGTGCTCTAAAATACTCAAACTCTTTACAGGTTGAGTATAGCAGTTTAACAGTATCTTCAACAGGGTCTCGAGTTACATATGGTTCGTGTAAAAGTGCAGTGTAAGTGAAGTTACAACTTTGCGGTGCATCGCCTAAAAGTCATGGCTCTTGTAGCCAGCTCCTGGCGAGAAACATCCTTAGGTAACCCAGTGAGCCTGAACTCTTTGCCTAACGGTTTGAATCCTTTACCTCAAACTAGTACTTTAACTCCTTTACCCACCAACATTAATCCTATTAATCTTGAAACATCCGATCCTTCGCTGATCAATCGACAAACGCCGTCACAAAACTCACAAAATAGTAATAACAGTGTAGATAAGAACCAGAACATTGAGTGTGTTGTGTGTGGGGACAAAAGTTCTGGTAAACACTACGGACAATTCACATGCGAAGGTACGTTTGCAATTATTTCATTGATTAAACACTCATCTATTTATATATAGCAATATATATATTATATAAAGTATATATACGTTTATATAGGTATATAGCCCTTATATACTAGCCCTATATCTTTATATACTCACAAGTATATAAGTGATATGTACTGTCACTACCTATATAATTCTGTTATATACTTATATACCTTAAAATATATGAATATATACCATACCTATATATATATATAATATATATATATATATATATATATATATATATATATATATATATCTATATATATATATATATATATATATATATATATATATATATAACATATATTCTACTTTTGCATTTATATATCTACCTATATATAAGAGATATATGCAGTCTACACTTATATTTTTTAATATATAGTAGTATATATAGGGATAAAATACTGAACTTACTTATATATAGATATACATACCTTTTATGCAATATATATATATATATATCTATATATATATATATATATATATATATATATATATATATATATATCTTTAAACGAAAGTATACATAAGTAAATATATAAGGGTGGAGAGAGTGGCAGCGACAAAGGCAGGAAGAGAGAGAGATAGACAGAGGGAGAAAGACGGGATACTAGTATTCATTGATCTGGTTGAATAGGTATATCAGAAGCTGTTTGATTTAGAGGTATTTACTGCGATTTTTTGACTCTTAAATTTTAACACGTTATTGTTAGTCGAAGAAATCATTTTAAGTAGATGCGCAAAGATATCCAGCGATAACTGTTAAATAAATCTTTATACACACACACAAACACACACAAATGTATATGTATACATATGTATATGTATATGTATATGTATATATATATATATATATATATATATATATATATTATATACATTTTATAAGCATAGATGAAATATCTTTAGATGAAACATTGGAAAATAATCTTAGCTTACTTGATTTTCAAATAGTTAGTTGACCTTGATCACAAACATTTTTTAATAAAAAATTCAAATAACGAACCCTAAACCTATCTTAATTGTACGAGCTCAATATATTCAGAATATCGACACAAAAAGGTACCGAACATTTTTGCCAAACCGCTGGTATATACAGTGAGTGCTAAATTAACCGGACACTCAGATTTTTTTTTAAAGTTCACTTTTGAAAAAGTTTTAGATATTTCCAATTGAATATTTAATAATAAATAAAATTTATTACAAATCAAGAATTTAACAAAGAAAAAAATAAAAAAAAATTGAAGGTCTACAAAGAAACAAAAAATAATTTTTTTAAATTTTGAACATTTTCTAATGAAAAACGATATTTAGTAGGATGTATTACCCCCCAACTGAACATGGTTACGTTGAATATACCGTCCCATAATATCCCATGCATGCTCGATTAGATTTAATTCTGGACTCCTTGGAGGCCGTGGTAATACAATAATTTTAATTTCATCCAAGTAATGTCTGGAACATCGAAAAATATCTTATCTGGAACATATAGTAAGGGGAAGTCGATATAAAATTTTACAACTGATCCTTAAAGGCAAAATAGAGGGCTGTAGGGGTCTAGGAAAAAAAACAAGTTTCTTGGTTAAAAAACATTCGTGAATGGACTCAGATACCAAATGCAGGACAATTACTCCATATTGCATAAGATCGAGAAGCCTTCGCAATGGTGATCGTCAACGTCGGATAATTATGATATGGCACGCGAAGAAGAAGAAGAATGTCTGGACGAGCATTATCTTGGATCAGGCGAAAGTTTTCTCCAGCCATGGAGGAAATGGCACTACTTGATCTTCCATATTATTCAGTATACCTTTCAGCGTTTAAATTGCTCCCCAGAATTGTAAAAATTTCTGTACGAAGGAAATGTAGGACCATAGCATTATACCACCTCCACCAAATTGAACTCTGGGAGTTAAACAACATTGGTGATAACGTTCAAAAATTCTTCTCCAAATCCTAGGCTGACCATCTGATAAGTATCTGTTAAATCTTCACAGATAAATCTGATTTATCTGTGAAGAACACCGTACCCATTCTTCAACACCCCAATTAAGATGTTCGCTAACGAAGTGTAAACGTTGCCTACGATGATGTTCTGCTGTTAACAGAGGTTCCGTGACAGACATTCTGGACCTTAATCCATATTCATTTAAAAGTCTTCGAACGGTATAAACGGAACCTGTATTTTTATGGACATAATTTAATCGTTGAACAAGAAGATACTGGTGCTGATAATCTTGGTATTGCATCAAACACTATATTTCGAGAAATTCCTGAAGCATTTGCAATGTAACGAATGCTCCGCCCATCATCTCGTATAGAAACAGCTTGTGCTACTTCTTCTGGCATCATAATTTTTTTATTGTAATTTTTAAAAAGGAGAAAACAAAAAAAACCAAAGACTAATTTGTAAACTCTTAAAATACCAACATAAACTTAAAAATGCTGTTTAATTTAAGATACTATTTTACATTAATAACAGGAAGTTTGTTGTTCGCAAAAATCAGTTAAACAGGGTCAAACAAGAAAAAACGTTATCGCTAATAAGACAAAATAAAATTCAAAAAGTTATTTATAATCCTAGAATGGTACTGTCCACTATATCGATGTTAATTCCTTATTTAGATACCAATCTGTTGTCGACCAGCCCTTTCACGGTACTTCAAACTTCTCCATGGATATTTAAACTTCCAAATTTCAATATCGAATTATCCAAATATAATAAGAATGAAATATCACCATACATTATTAAACAAAGATTCTATGAAATACTAGGTACATCACTGCAACTTCAATAACATCCTTTACTCAGACGCATCTAAGACTGAAAAAGGTGTTGGCCGTGCTGTTACAAAGGCTACAACCACCCTCAACTTGTTTCGACTCTCCAGCAATTGCAGTATCTATACTGCTGAACTATATGGAATACTACAAGCGGTGAAAATTCCACTCAACGATGATAAAACTATAGCAATCTGTACGGACTCTCTGTCCTCCATGCAGTCCATAAGAAACGTACATTCTATTCACCCAACAGTTCAAGAAAACCAGAGTATATGTAATCGTCTTCAAACTAATGGAGTTACAGTAACAATATTATGGGTCCCATCACACGTTGGTATTTCAGGTAACGAAATAGCTGATCAAGGAGCAAAACAAGCAAAACAGACATCATCAGATCTAAAAAGAACAATCAAATTTAATGAATTCCAGTAATCAGATTTTGTGCCAGTACTGCAACGCCACGACTTCCGTAACACATGTACTTCTTGACTGTCAACACTACCTAGCGGTCAGAATCATGATAACAACATAAAAGACATACTTATCTCAAACAGCAGCAGCTATGAAAATGTATTAAACTTTTTAAAAAACACAAAGTTTGTTATACAATTTAATTTAAAACAAAATGTATTACAAAAAATTTATTGTAACTAATTTGTACCCAATGTAAAGTATCAACCATGTAAACATGAATGTAAATTGTACCTGTGTCAATGACCATTAGCTGTCGAGACACATATTCTCGAAATAAAAAAAAATCAAAAAAAAATTGTCCAAAAACGAAAAATACATAAAAATTTGAGTGTCCGGTTAATTTAGCACTACATTGTATTTAAAAAATAGAACATTGTCTTATATTTACGAACCACTTTTCAACATGTTAATACAAAAACAGCGTGATATTCCTGACTTTATGGACTATTAATCCAATAAATCTCAGTAAAATGATTAAAAAACAACCCTGCAACTGCCAAAATTTTGTTATCATTTGCTTGTTCGAAATCCCCGAACCTTTATATGCATAACATTTAAAATATGAATACCCTCCCCGAATGTCTTTAAAGACCGCACTAAAATACAGTAGAAACGAAAGCAGGGGTCATGAATCCTCACATATAATCGGATTAAAAACCTGCATCATTCACTTACTAAGCCGAAGACAGAATTTAGTAAGTGAATATCTACACAAAGTAAACACAAAGCTGAACATTGCATCCCCTTCGCTGTAAAGGTCAGGCGTTAGTATTAACCCCTGTTCTACCAAACACCTATACGCTGCTACTATTAGAAGTTTGACTCGAAACATCATATTTATAAACTCACAGTATTTATGCAACACTGGTATATAATATTAGTGTCCTTTTCGGTTCTTATCGATTAACAGAGTCAAAAAAGCAAAAATTATTTTCGTACCGGCTAGGGGCACACAAATGTTCGTATATTATCATTGGATCACATTCATTTTGCATGTTTTTTGTAAATTTTGATTCTATCTCTCGATTATAAATGAATTATGTATTTATATTCTGCTTATAATTGAGGTTACAAACCTTGTCGATAATTCCGACAGTACTGAAACACACAGTTTGCTGTCTGCTAATTTGGGTCTGCTGAATCCAAAAATGCCACCAGATTTGCTCCATCAGATCATTTACAGGAAATGCAACAGATCACATTTCTAACATATAGGGTAATTTAACGCAGCACTAGCTACGTATATGTAGTGCTGCTACCAATTAAATAAACAAAACAATAATAAAACATAAAATCATCACACATATCTGCCAAAAAAACTTTTCATCTAACCTAACCAGCATTGCAGCACAAATCTGCTATTCAGCGTCACCTAAAAACTTCCTTTTATATGATTTTTTGCAAAGGCTTTAAAAGGACGGTCCCTTTGAAGACTCAAGCAGTAATCCGCCATCATGTGAGTGTCCCATCTCCCCTGATACCTCTCTTCCATCGTTTTGATATCTTGGTGGAAGCGTTCCCCTTGTTCCTCACTAAGGTCACCAAGATTTTCTGGGAAACGGTCTAAGTGGCTGTTGAGGTAATGAATTTTAATACTCATATGACAACCGTGTTTGTTAAATTTGTTGAACATTTCTTCCACTTTATTCCGGTAATTTTTACACTCTTTAAACTTCGTTTAAAGTCATTTAATATTATTACAAAAAACCATATCATTTT